AATTTAGAAATTTAAATTACAAAAAAAAAAAGCAACACAATACGCACATATCATTTTATACATTAACTCACACTATAAAACTACAATACTTATCGGGCCAAATCACCCTATAAACACTCCAAAACAGCTTTTCTATATGCTACAAGTGACAAGCAAAAGATGTCAGCATTAGAGAACTTAGTATCATACAACCTACTTGATTCCATTGGTTTTGAAGTCTTAACTTGTCAGTTGTGTTTTTGTATGTCGGATGTCTTTCGACCGAAGCAGATCAGAAAATGGATTGCGTGTTATATTATAACTAGCTGACCCGGCAAGCATTGTTTTGCCATATATAAGATTTCTAGGGAATTTCTAGTGTAGAAAAAAAAAACTAACTTATTGTAAGTGTGTAAGGATGTGGTAAATGAGTGAAAGAGGTATGTAGTGCTGTGAACGATGAGGGAATTTATAATAAAAATAACAAAACCTCATTCAATCACAAACTTAATACCTCATTATAACAAAAAAAAAATGTAAAAAAAAAAAATGTTAGGAATGGACAACCCTAATCACTTAGGGGTATGAAAAATAGATAGTAGCCGATTCTCAGGCTTACTGAATATGCATAAAAAATTTCATGAGAATCGGTCAAGCGGCTTCGGAGGAGTATGGGAACGAACATTGTGACACGAGAATTTTATATATTAGAAGATTAATACGTTATACATATAATATAATGTAGCACTAAGAGACTAAATAGCAAAAGTCGTATGTAAGCATAGTTTTAGGAATTTATTATTTAAAATGAACATGAAACTTTTTTGGCGTCAACTTTCGTTTTTCTTTTGGACCGTGTGGCTTAGAATAAAAAATAAAGCATTGTAACTAATCAGATAAAACTATGAATAAAAACGAGCTTGGTATTTTATATATGAATGAAGTTAATGAAACTAAAGCAAAAAATATAATACTTTTTTTTTTATTGCTTAGATGTATGGACGAGCTCACAGCCCACCTGGTGTTAAGTGGTTACTGGAGCCCATAGACATCTACAACGTAAATGCGCCACCCACCTCGAGATATAAGTTCTAAGATCTCAGTATAGTTACAACGGCTACTCCACCCTTCGAACCGAAACGCATTACTGCTTCACGGCGGAAATAGGCGGGGTGGTGGTACCTACTCGTGCGGACTCCCAAGAGGTCCTACCACCAGTGGACCAGTGGACACTTTCCTTAAATTAATGTTTAAACCAGAAAATGTTCTTCTAGCATCACCATTTTATAACAGCTACATCTAAAAGAGCGTATACAGACCAAATATATTCTCAATACCTTTTACGTACTATAAATCTTAAATCCCAGAAGGCTATAAAGTACTTTGGGTCACTAGGCTGCGCGCGCCGGAATGTGACCGGTTGTTTTGCAACAAGTTCTTTCGTCTCCCTCAAGCCTCTTTCTATCTCTTTCTCTACGTCGAATTTTATCGACAGCACCCGAAGTCAAAGCCGCTTGGTACCCGTCTTCGGAAGTAAGACTGGATTCTTGCCGGTTTTGTTATTTAAGCGCGCCGATGAGGTTTGCCGATAGACATTTTGTCTTCTCGCATTAAAACTGTATAATTTCAAAACTTACTAATTTTACAGGAGAGTGTTTTAAAAGGTTTAACATGACGTGATATTTTTAATATTAATCATCTTTGCAGCATTATTTTTTATTTTTTTTTACCAGGTACATTATTTGTATTTTAAAGTAAGATAAAATTATGTATTAGTTTTGTTAATAGTAGTCAAAATGTAGATAAACAAAAAAAAAAAAACTAAAACTAAACAACGCTCTTTTGACAGTATTTATGAGAAAAATACTGGTGATACCAAATGATTAAATTCGAATATTTTTGGAAATTGTACACTTTTAATGCGAAAAGACGATTTGTGCTTAATAACAAATTCAGTGATGCATAGGAATGCGTACCTTAGTGTTTTTTTGTTATGCTAAAAGTTACTTGGCTTCTTATTGGTATTTGTTAAGTTCAACGTCAACTATTTTAACGTTAAGATAGTAATAATAAAATTAAACAATTGAGAAGGGCTGATTTTGATTGTTAACACTTAAAAGCTATTTATAGCGTCTAAGATGCAATAAAAATGGATCTGTATTTCTGTTAAATTTAGTTATATGTGTTAAAAAAAACATTTGGTCTAAGTTTTCTATTTTAATTTTAGGTACCACTTAAGTTTTATAACGCTGCCTTTTCGTTAATTATCGTTTAATATAATTTTGACACTTATTTATTCGATCATATTAAAATAACTTTTTGAATATTGCACGATATGATTAATGACTGTGAGGTCAGCCATAAATTGATACGTAACTATTTATGAATAACTAGTGGCCCGCTCCGGCTCCGCTCGGGTCTTTAACAAAAATTTCAACGATATTTGACATTGTATTATTTTTTAAAATAAAAGAACGCTTATTGCGGCATAACTATACTGTCACGACACTTTTTGTAAATAATAATGTGTTCTACAAAGTCGTAGTACATTATTTGATTCTATCATTAATAGTTTTTGCAGGGCACACGATGTAAAGAATATTTAGGTATTTTTTTTATACCTTGGGTTATATTATTGGAGTTTTAGTAAGGGTCCCTAATTTTTTTCAAAAAAGATTATATTCAAAAAAGATTATAAGCCTATGTCACTCGGGAATAGTGTAGCTTCCAAATAGTGAAAGAATTTTTCAAATCGGTTCGGAGTAGTTTCGGAGCCTATTCAATACAAACAAACCAACAAATCTTTCTTCTTTATAATATTCGTATAGATAATTAGATTCAATCCCATAATTTTCCCGGTCATTGACTCTGAAACATCAAATCGACAATACGATTTCAATTCAAAATCATACCATTTTGATACTATTGACATATAACTGTTTGACACGCCCTGTCTGTCAGCCGCACCTATTGACAGATGACGGTATGTTTCACGCCTCTGACGTCAGATGGCTTTGTAAGCAGCTTCCGTCAAGCACGGTCAAGCTTTGAAACGAGAATTATCTTATAAAATAGGTAATTCCTCTTCCGTGTAATTATTTGTACAAGGCAGTCTGGGTTTTTTTCTTCGATTATTCCAGTATACGCTGAGAATTGCGTATTATTAAAATAAAGTTGAATTTGAAATATATTGAGATAATAATGAAGATTCCTTATTCTTGATTCTTTTTCTTTTTAACGGATTACGATGTCACGTCTCTCACCAATATCACATATCTATGTCAAATGTAATCATACATATATGCACCATCATCACATTACCATCCTGATCATTTCACCTTCATTCAGCGCATTCATCTCACTGCCTAGTCAAATATGATAAGATACGGCAGTTTTTCGTTCAAGTATAAAATCTACGGAAGTTCTTAACAAGCCAGTTTTTAGTAGGGTGTAGAGAGATTTCGCTGGTATACGCTCGTCCCTTCTCCCTTCCTATATCTCGCTTTGACTTCGACGATAAACCAACCACGTACCCATTATTGGTTAACTCACTCAATCATCGTCTGTGTGTCCTGGTGAAACCGAAATGGTCTATGGGATGGATTACAATCCATCATTCATAAAAAAAGGTTTACTGGTACTATGTGTTTAGTTTTCCCATAAAAAAGAAATATATCCGGTCTGGAAGGCGAAATTCTATCTACCGAAATAGCTGAATAAAATTTATATGTGTCTCGTTGATCGGTTTGGTTGATTGTGACCGACTGGAGGTCGACAAGTGCGTCGCTGCGCCGAAACAATGAGTGGCCTTAGCGCAGGTAGTCTATTGTTCCCGTCTATTGACCATTAGCGTTTTAACGAGACAATTAATCAGTTCTATCGCGTTCACTGTAGGTACTGTGTCTCGTCGAACCAGTACCGTCTTTATTGATCTTGAATATTAATTAGAACGGAACTAACGTTTACCGAAATTATTTAGTCAAATGAGTTTTTTCCGGCACGAATACCTATCTGGTTATTAATTGTATAATCTAGTTAGTAGATGAAAGTTTAAGTTAATTTTCACTGTGGCGACCAAATTTGTATCCATTTTTTTTTTAAGTACCCTACATACATAGTACGTAATTACATATTTTAGTTTTCCAATATTAATAAGATAATAATTTTGATCGAGGCATTTTGTTTTACTATCATCATCCGAAATGAGGAGATCCGTAGAAGAACGAAGGTTGCTGACATAGCCCGTAGAATTAGTGAACTGAAGTGGCAATGGGCCGGCCACATAGCACGAAGAGAGGACGGTCGATGGGGCACAAAGATCCTGGAGTGGCGACCACGTACTGGCAAGCGCAGTGTGGGACGGCCACCTACTAGATGGACCGACGACCTAGTAAAAAGTGCTGGGTCTCGTTGGATGCAGGTGGCAATGGACCGGTCGCACTGGAAATCTATTGGAGAGGCCTATGTTCAGCAGTGGACGGCGATAGGCTGAAATGATGATGATGATGATGATNTGGGGCAGAAAGATCCTGGAGTGGCGACCACGTACTGGCAAGCGCAGTGTGGGACGGCCACCTACTAGATGGACCGACGACCTAGTAAAAAGTGCTGGGTCTCGTTGGATGCAGGTGGCAATGGACCGGTCGCACTGGAAATCTATTGGAGAGGCCTATGTTCAGCAGTGGACGGCGATAGGCTGAAATGATGATGATGATGATGATCATCATCATGTATCAGGTATTTCTGATGGGAATTTTCCAAAATTGAAATATACATATTTTAAAACAAAAATATTCTACTATCGAAACAGTGCTTTTGATGAGCTGATGATGAGTGATCATTGCTTCTCAGAGATATCAGTGAGAGCACAGGCAAACCGCAAAATATACCTTTACCACGAGTAAATACTGATTTATGGTTTCAATCTCCACTGAATTCTTTAGTAGCGTTTTACGATGCCTGAGGCAAAAGACAGGAGGGTATGCGATTTTAAGTCGTATTCTAATAGCAGTAGAACTTACGTTCTGGCTCATGGCTGTTCCTGATGTATCCTCTGATCTGTTCGTTGACGTAGTTATTGCTTTTGGGCACGTTGAGAGCGCTTCTGATGCCCACTGATGAGTTGTCCAAGTGGCCCGGACCGATCTTTGGTACGTGGCTAGAGCAGTATACTTCTTTGTCTTCCGTCCAATGCTGGTTATTGTAATAGGTCTGGAAAACAATAGGCTTTACTGAGTTATTAAAGTTTTTGGAACGAAGTTCCTTATGGGACGATGCGGAGGGGTACCCTAACCGGAAAAAAACGTCCGTAACGTAAGATTTTTATTAGTAATGCACACAGTGTACGACTTAACTTTGTAATAACGTACAAAAAATAACATATTTTTTTATCATTAATTGACCACGATCTCAAGAGCGTTCGTTTGCGCAATACACTAACTCTTATGCAAACAAGCGTGAATGAAGTGTACCACAATAAGTTCGCACGTTACCGAATGACCGTGGGTTGTTTCGAAGCCTCCAGTTTTATATAATAAGGAACTTCGTTCCTATCCGGTGTCACACGACACCACACATCTTTTTTTTTTTGTATGAATCACTTTTTCTTGTTGTTTTTTTTTGTGTGGTCGGGTGACGAAGCTGTCGAGTGATTTGAGTGGCGCCACGCAGTTTGAAAGGTCGAAAATGTTATTGCGTAACGGTTGTTTCATTATCTTTTGTAGAGTCAGTTTGGTTATTTGTAAAAAAATATATATTTTTTATTCGAATCAATAATACATTCGCGGCGAAAAAATCTACCCACCTCACTAAATACATAAGTAATATATAATTAACGTATGCGTAAAAATAAAAGCCGAGGCGCCGGTTCCGAATTGAATTCTGGCAACAAAATTGAAGCAGCAAAACACAGTTATCCGAAAATAAAATCTTAATAACTCAATCCCGAGTACAGCTAAGCAAATGTAAGTACAGTTCTTGTATCGTACAAGGTAATTGTGTTATGAGTCACGGATTCATGATCTGTATCTGTTGTAATGATTCATTATTTATTTTAAAACCAACTGTTTTGATGGCTCGTGATTGCCACGTGAATGGAAACTAAACTTTGAACGCCGGTAAATAGAGTGGATATAATTAAAATGTTACTGTTTTATCTTTTCCAGTTGATTTAATACACGGTAGGCTATGTCATCTTCCCTTTTTCAAATGCAATGATTCGGAAATTTATGTTTGAAGGCTAAGAGTGCTTTTAAAGCCAAGGACATTGTGAGCAGCTCGCAATAAAAAAACCAGAGCGATTACATTATTATTTTTCTTGGGCATCGGTGCTTGCTGGCTTGCCGTGTAGGGGAAATATACAGTACGTTGTTATTCTAGCACGGTGGTAGACGCTTGAGAGCACGTCTTAGGTACGTATTTACTGAGAAACAATAGAAAGAGCCAACCTTGACGCCGCGGCGCCGGTGCCATCTCGAATGTTCTAAAAAATTAGCTGAGCAAAGTCCGTAGCTTGAAAAGGGGTAAACATTATTGTTATTGTTAATAGATAAGATGGAAAGGTCGCATAAATGCCAGAGGAGGTTCGAGGTGACTCCATTGTCAAGGTCGACTTGTAACCCGAGATGAAACGAGAAATTAAGTAGTAGATGTTTCGTAATATATTTAAAACTGAAGCCTACGAATAATATGTTGATTTTATACTTAAGTTGTGAATTTCGGCAATGCTTTTATACATACATAGCCTTGATCGGAAATTTAAAAAAAATTGGGTTTGCCAAATAATAATTTAGTAATTTTTGTTAAAACGTTTAGATATTTATTTTTTTATTTAGAACGCCTATTTCCACCGTGAAGCAGTAATGCGTTTCGGTTCGAAGGGTGGGGTTGCCGTTGTAGCTGTACTGAGACCTCAGAATACAGAAATTCTGTATTCTGAGACCTTAGAACTTATATCTCGAGGTGGGTGGCGCATTTACGTTGTAGATGTCTATGGGCTCCAGTAACCACTTAACACCAGGTGGGCTGTGAGCTCGTCCATCCATCTAAGCAATAAAAAAAAAGATAAACAAACAAAGGAACAAATTTAAAAAAAGACTTACCATACTACCATTAAAATTAAGTTTTTTAAAAAAGACGCGAATAAATTAATCTAATGGTATCGAGTAGGTATTTGGTATAAATTTTAAGTGTTCTTTTTTCGCATGACTTAAAATATTAAAACAACGAAACCAAAATTTATTTTCAAACTATTTCCAGTTACAAGTTAGTCCAGTTACAGTTAATCTTACCTTCAAGGTTAGTTTGGTTCCGCACACGGCACACTTGAAACATCCACTATGAAAGAAGGTGAAGTCCTTCAAAGGTCCCACTCTGTCCACTTGATACACGATTTCATTGCACCTAAAGCAGGTGCTCTCGTAGAAATTCGGTCGGTACATTTTGTTAACGATTTGTGTTCACGTCATAATTACAAATTACACTTGATTCACATTGATGCTAATTACATTTGGTTTTTTACACTTGACACTGAAAATTGTTTGTTTGTTTAGCAAAGATTTATAATAATGCCCACGAAATTCGTTCGTTACAATATATTTATGTATGTATATTATTTAAATATACACTACATATTATTGAAATTTACGATATTGTTTCCGTTGTGAGAATAAATATTAAAAAAAGGTATTCAGATAATTGTTCGGAATTATTTATTTATTTTTTGTGAATTAAGTTTATATTATAATCTGTTATTCCCATTGATAAGATATGAGATTATGGCTGACTTGATGTTAATTGGCATAAATTCAAAGACCCTACCACGTGAAAGCTGCCCTTAAGACTTTCGATCAGTCTTTATTGCGTGCGTCACACACTCAGGTAAGTGCGGGTAAAAAAAAAAACAAAAAAAAACCTGCTCTAAAAGCAACGTCTAGATTTTTGCTGATGTTAGTGACTGCTTCTTACCAGATTACCTTATAATCATATCTGTTTTCGAATTTCTATTACGTCAAAATGTATGAGTCAAAATATACAAATTTCATTAATGAACGTATGAATGAAGAATGAGGTCGATGAACCGTTTCAGTTGACCACCGCTTTATTTCCGTTCACTATTGATCGGAGCAACCCTCGTACAAAATGACCCTTCTTAAGGTTATTCGGCATTGGAGAGTTTCCACTTTTCAACACACTTACTAGCTTGGTACGTATGCTTTGTTTGTATGTTACTGAATCATTTAAAGGTCATTTCCACCGACTTCAATGCGTTCGATAAACTTGAAAATTTTCACGTGCATCAAGGAACGATAACAATACAAAAATTTTATGATTTCGCTGAGACAGACGCGTTGATGATGAAGAAACCTATTTTTTTTAAGAAACCATTTTTTTCCCTAGCTATGCTGAGAGCCTTGAGAGACTATTTCAGCTCCTCCTTGACGTGTAGGTAAGCTCACGGGCTCTATCCGGGAGTGTTACTAACACTAGGCCTAGCAAGAGCAGTGCTGCGCAGAATCTACCACCGGATCGGAAACGCGACCCACTGATAAGATCCGGTGAGAAACTCAGTAGGCTCAGAGAAACAGAGTGTAAGTAATCTTATATGTATCTTTACTGGTGGTATGACCTCTTGTGAGTCCGCGCGGGTGTGTACCACCACCCTGCCTATTTCTGCCATGAAGCAGTAATGCGTTTCGGTTCGAAGGGTGGGGCAGCCGTTGTAACTATACTTGAGACCTTAGAACTTATATCTCAAGGTGGGTGGCGCATTTACGTTGTGGATGTCTATGGGCTCCAGTAACCACTTAACACCAGGTGGGCTGTCAGCTCGTCCACCCATTTAAGCAATAAAAAAAAGAGCAGTGCCTTCTAGAATCTTCTATTAGATCTCAATCGTCACCCAGTCAGAAGAGCCGTCGAGAAACTCAGTAAACTATGTCTACTAGAGGACCCGCAGTAGTCGAAATTCGACTATAATTAATGGGAATTGTAAGTTTGTACACTATTATGATTATACTTTATACTTCCATAATCACAAATTTCGCCAAGACTACACTATAAAAAATATTTACAAAGACAAACAATATTTAATCTCAATTTGACAACAGACGTTAAGTACAAAAGTTTGACAATAAATAGCATGCATGCGTGTGTGCGTCAAATACATGGTATGTAGTGTGTGTAATGTTTTCTTTATTGATTTAATGTATCTTTTAAGCATTATTTAAAAAAAAATTTGCATTGTGCACTTCTTCTCTATATTCTCTATAAGTGTGGAAAATTTCATACTCCTCCGTCCGCGCAATTTTCCTAAAAAGGGATACAAAGTTTTTGCTTCACGTATTAATATATAGATGGGTCAGTTCGATCGTCGAACTCTTCGTCGTAATCGACTAATTCGACGAGGACGGTGACCGGTGCTCGAGGGGCCTTAAAACACCGAGAGTGGATCCGGGGGTTCCAGCTGGGTCGTATAAGTATTTAGCGGCAGTCACAATGAGAGGGCTATCGTGTCGCGCCACTTTCTTGACATAACTATAATAACATAGTTATTGGAGCATATACAAATCGTGCAGTTTCAGAATAAGAATATAAATAATTCAAACAGAAAACTTGATTTATCTCCGCTTATGCAACATTTCACGACATCATCATTCTCCTGCCCTTCTCCCAGTCACCTGGGGTCGGCGCAACATGTTTTCTCCTTCCATACTCTTCTATCATATACCATTTCTTCGCTCACTCCCCTCTTACACATATCGTCTTTCACGCAATCCATACATTTCTTCTTAGGTGAAGAAGAAATTGATGGACTCTTCCTCTATATCCTTCCACATTCATAGTTAACACTCTCTTACCAACCTCATTTTCGTTTCGTCTTATCACGTGTCCATACCAACGTTTCACGACATATTGTTTATCATTATAGTCTCGCGCGGTTTGCGTGTAGCCGCCGGCTGAAGGTGGACGGTATGGGGTGAGTTTAAGAGATTCTTCTTAAGCATTTTCACAAGTTCCATGAGCGAATTATTAAATTAGGTAGTACTATTTTAAAGTGTTTCTGTGATTGCTGTTCATTTCCAAATGTCCAAAATAAAGCCCACAAGAGCAGTAAAAAAAGAGAAGTTTTAAATTTATTATTAGCTCATAAAATTTTATTTCTTATTTATGTTATTAATATAAATATACTTGTCGAATTATAAAATTACTTACATTTTAAATGCAAAGCAGAAAATCGTTAATAGGTTCTTAAAAAATCACAGACTCAGCTTAATGTAGTATTTTAAGGCACAGAAGATATACGCGTGATGATGGCATAGACATTATTCGAGTGTATTTTTTTAAATCGTAGATAAGTTTGTAACTATCAATATTACTTCATTGTTAATATGCAAAAAAATGTTAGGCTTCGAGCCATTTTTTTTTATTTTTTTTTATCGCCCTTGTAAGCAGACGATCATACGGCTCACCTGATGGTGAGTGGTTACCGTCGCCCATGGACTTCAGCAATGCCAGGGGAAGAGCCAAGCCGCTGCCTACCGCTTAATACTCTCCACAAGCCTCGTTTGAAGAAGGACATGTCATAGCGCTCGGGAAACACCGTGGAGGGGAGCTCATTCCATAGCCGGATGGTACGTGGCAGAAAAGACCTCTGGAAACGCACTGTGGATGATCTAATTCCATTGAACTAACCTGACAGTAAGAAGCAATCAACGTAAATCTCTAGAGACATTCATAATACGGTTTGCAAAAATTGTTGCGACCTAAATTTATTTGTAGCCGATTTAACCTAATAGGCGTATGGCTCTAATAAATAATAAATAATAAAAAAAAATGTCAATCCACGCTCCCCTGACTCTCACATTTTGTACCACACATCAGAAGCAGCGCCAACGTGCGTAGCGTGTAACGGCGGCTTATATTTACGTGTTCAGCTCATTATTATCTAGAACATCTCAATAGCCCACTTAGTTTTATGAAAGATAATTCATTTTTTTATGTCTTTGAATTATCTCTACGTAGCATTTCTCGTTGAGCGCGTACTTATAGTAAGTTCTTCTTTTCTATTCAGAATCTAGTTTGATTGCACTAAGTAATTCACAGTTTCTATCTGTTTATTATTTGTTAAAATTGTATTTTATGAACGCATGGAAACATTTTGTTTTTTCGTCATCCGAAGGTTATATGCTGATGGATATAAACTTCGGCTTCGACATGATGGCCAGTTCCGCATTGCAGGAACCAGCCGAATCCGACTCTAGACTGGTGATCTTCGTAAAGTCGTCGGACTTTTTGAGGATTTCCCAATTTTCTGGACAAAGGTCTACATTTGTTTTTATTTTACTTACTAGATACAGCTTAATCGTTTTACCGGTGGTAGGACCTCTTGTGAGTCCGCTCGGGTGGGTACCATCGCCCTGCCTATTTCTGCCGTGAAGCAGTAATGAGTTTCGGTTTGAAGGGTGGGGCAGCCGTTGTAACTATACTTGAGACCTTAGAACTTATATCTTCAGGTGGGTGCGCATTTACGTTGTGAATGTCTATGGGCTCCAGTAACCACTTAACACCAGGTGGGTTGTGAGCTCGTCCACCCATCTAAGCAAAAAAAAAGCGGATATCAATGAAGTCATAAAGCTGCAATAATTAGTTAAGTTAACTGGCTCGTTGGTCGGATAGCTAGTCGTCCTTATGATAGTTAGGTTCGGGATCCGTTCCCGTTCTGTAGCCGATAACAGTTGGATCGTCCTATTTTTCGCGCATATGTGTGTTCCGGATTCACAACACAGGAGAGAGCCTTCGCTTCGAATAGCTGAACGTGTTATGTTTATTTATTGAGGTGAAAATTCTTTGGCATCCCTGAAGGACGCAGGTGACACTAAAAAGGAAGTAGCATTTACATACATAGAATTTTCGAGAGAATGAGATTGGGATTTAAGAATTCACTTTTAATTCGAGCTAGCTGCAAATACAAGTTTTGTTAATATTTATTTCAATGAAAGTAAGACTCTTGAAGTGGGCGGTTCGTAATGCTGTATCTACAGGCTCTTGACGAGATGGGCCGTAGGTTCGACGGTCCATTGAAGAAAATGAATCATCAACAAAATTACGTAATATTATAAATCATAAAAGTCCTGTAAAAATTCGCCATTTCAAATAAACGTAACGACCATGCAAATCGTCTTCGAGTAGAGCTCTATGTCATACGCGATAAGGAATGATATTCTTTGGACTATATTATCGTAGGTGATTATTTTGGTTATTGGTCAATGAATGTATTGTGAAGCGTGGGCTTAGTGTAGGATGTTGGCCCGAAACTACTTTTACTTGGTATTACACAATGAATTAATCAGATATAGTATTGAGTTACAAACAGGTGATCGATTTGCATCCTACTGGTTGTTGACCTTTGCATTTTTATATTAATAATAATGTCATTGAATTAGCAGGGTTGGACATTAAAATATCTCTTAACACGCAACGTTAGTAACGTGGAAATATTAGGCGAGCCCTTTGTGCATAAACAAGACAACAAATAAGCGGATACATTTAAAAATGTTACTGGTGGTAGGACATCTTGTGAGTCCGCATGGGTAGGGACAACCTGCCTATTTCTGCCGTGAAGCAGTAATGCGTTTCGGTTTGAAGGGAGAGGCAGCCGCTGTAACTGTACTGAGACCTTAGAACTTATATCTCAAGGTGGGTGGCTCAAGAAGTAATTTTAATTAAACAGTGAAGAGATTTCATTGCATTCGCTGGTATAATTAACTGCATTCCGATTCGCTATTGTGTTTGCCCACATGTATGGACAAGGTGAGCTACTTCTACCGAAATGATTTCTTACATAAAAAACCTTTGGTTTTTTTTTTTAAATCAGAACACTGTTTTATTTTTTTCCTTTAGTTAGGCCAGTAATTATCGGCTGGTGAGCAATACATGGGTCTTACAAGTCTGGAAGCTATTGAATAAGTCTTAGGTAGTATTATTTAAAAGAGTTCACATAGGTACAGTCCATAATAGTCTTCTATTATTTTTTGTTTCTTTAGCCATACCTCTTTACGACTTTTTCATAAGATCCACGAAATGTTCTATTACTACCGGTTCGTAAATTTTAAATTTTAGATTTAGATTTAAATAAAAAGACAAGGCCGCTGACCGTATTCCGTCAGCTCTTCTTTTTTTTTTTCAAATCAAATCAAAATATTTTATTCAACATAAATGAAAGCACATACTTGTTGAACGTCAAAAAGAACTACCGGCAATTCACAAAAACTAGCCTCCGTCCTGAGAAGAACTGGCTAGAAACTCAGCGGGTATGTCTTTTTTTTAAATATTAGATTATTTTTTTTAATATTCATTTTTATAATGAGTATTATAACGTAACAATTATTGCAATATTGAAATTCGCGGAGCGAGCAACTCATTGAAACTCATTAAAACTGCTAACAGATTTAAAATCAACGTTAACAGTAATAAGTAATAAACAGTTTTGATCATTTCGAATTATCATCTAGCGCTCTTGTTAAACTAAATTACGACGAACTTCTCAAACTCTGTCGACATTTGAACAGCATCCGGCATCTGTATCGAAACCGTTAATATATTGTAATGAGCAATCGAAAGACCCTGACATTTCGCTTAAATGACGTTTTGTTCGAAACGAAAAGTTTTTTTTTTTTTTTTTTTAATTCGATTCACAGATAAAATTTACCGTGGGCGATTTATAACGGTGTTGTTTTTTCGTAATCTGTATTTATGGACTATTCTGTACGCGAACTAATGGCGCGTAAAAATGAATTATAAGAAATACACGAATAATCAAAATTTAAATGATAACCTCAAAAGAGTCATAGTTTGTTCGAAAAGTGTTAAAAAATGAATTAATTTTTTGAATGATTTGTATTAAGACTCCTTAACTAGGTACTTAACCCCTATTTTTAATTCTAAGTTATGACAATATTTATGTAGGGTTTTTTGAGTTCATAGACTTTACAATAATAATCGGTTTTAAAGAAAAACGCCGTCCTTCTCATAAAATAAGAATTTATGGCTACGGCAGGCGGAAAAGGTTAGAATAGTAATAGCCTGCGTGAACTACCCTTTACCATTGTCCAAGATATAATTTAAGGCAGGAAGAGGAAGGTAAAATGCACGATGAGAGGATTATAAAGTAGATTAAAGTGACTGTACAATAAAAATACTAGGAACAATATAAGCGTGCTTTAGCAATGGTGTTAATACGTAAATTAGGAACTGATTTGTTGTATATATACATATATTATAATGTACTTAGGCTTAAGAAAACATTTACATAATGGATAAGACGAGGTGGGAATCCAAAGTTCGCTCCGGACTTTTAGACTTTAATGTACTACTTCTACACATATTTTATAATGTTATTGTATAGGTGCTTTAAAAACAAATGAACACAAATGAGTATTTAAAAAAAAGTAATAAGATTCATCTTCTGAAATTGTTTCGCCGGTTATTCTTAGTGCTGTGACTTTTTCCGAGACCGGTGATAGAGATATGTTTTGTAATTCAACAAATACATACAATGACGTTTAGGTTTAAATTGACTTTGAATTTGAGGAAGTCGTATTTATGTATATCATTATTTATAGTATAATTTTTACTAATAATATTTTCTCTTATAAAAACTGTGAAAATGATCTAAATTTGGTAACCGAGCATAATGCAGGCTTGCGAAAGTAAAGGTTTATGTAGAGCTCGTATTTATTTTATGCATGTAAAGCATATTTAATAAACTAAACTCTACTTGTAGAGCCCGTAAAGTAATAAAAAAATTGTTAATGCCTTAAGTTTAACTAAATATGCGTCTCATACTTTGAAAAAAAAAGACATCCTCGTCGAACTCGTCCATTACGACGAAGAGTTAGACGACCGAACTAGCCCATAGACACAGCCCACTGAGTTTCACGCCGGATCTCTTCGGTGGGTCGCGCTTCCGATCCGGTGGTAGATTCTGCGAAACAGTAGTCTTGCTAGGGCTAGTGTTAGCAAATTCTCTCAGGTTGAGCCCGTGAGCTCAATTACCCGTCTGAGCGTATCTGGAATAGCCTCTTAGGCTACCAGCAATTAGGCAGGAAAAAGGGCCTTTCTTGTTTGTGGTTTTTTCATGATTCTAATACATTATTTACATACCACTACGAGCATTTTCCAGTTCATATTTCCGTAAAGAATTTACTTAGACTACAGGGGAAGTATGTAAGTTCACATGAGAAGTTGATCCAAGATGAATATACCACCTTGTTCTTTGATAAGATATTTTCTTGATTTCAACTTATAAGATGTTGATAACATTTATGTGTGCCACTTGCGTAATCTCAGCCGGAAGGCTTGGTCCGCGGATGTTGCAAAAACCGTATAATTATCGCATTTTAGAATCGACGCGACGCAGCGGACAAAAGTGTGTTACTGACACAAGATATTTAAAATTCAGATTAGACACGCCAAATGCCGATCGTAATTTAAAAAGAGAAAAAAAACTGCTTTGAGCAAATCCTTCATTGCTACTTTTTTGGAACGAAGTTCCTTAGGGACTATGCAGAGGGGTACCCTAACCGGGAAAACAGTCCCTAACGTAAGATTTTTATTATTTATGTATAGTCTTAGTATGATGGCTATACAGTGTCTAATGTATAGTCTACGTGATGACGGTTATTATTATTATTCATATAAATAGCTGTTTCTTTGTATATTATTATGATATATATTTTATAAATCATTGTGAATAAAATACAGTTGATAACTTTGTAAAGTAGTTTTTATTTTATTTTTATCAATAAAAAATCATAATAAAAAATGTATACCCGAATAATTATTTTCTTTATACCTCGAATAGAACTTAAAATTAAAATTTTTAAAATAAGGAACTTCGCTCCTATCCGGTGTCCCACGATACGGCACATAATTTTTTTTTTTCTATAAGAAGGTCCTACATTACAGGTACTAATCAGCGACTAGATTGAAAAACTTACAACACCACAGATAAAATAATTGAACAGCTGGCAACTGTAAAGTAAAGTAACATTCCAATGAATTTAGTACACATTCACACGAATTCGATTATACTACTTTTGTTTTCAGCCAGTGAGAGGTCGCGAAGGAGGTATTTAATGTGGGCATTACGTTTCCACCAGTAGTCCATCGGATCTCACAACACAATACCAGCACACGCGGTTAACGGCGAAATAAATGGGATTCTCTCACAACGGTACATTGATTAAGGTAGATAAATAAAAATAAAATAAAACTTTGAAATGGTTCACGAACGAATCTCAGTTTGGGCCTTTTTGTTGGGTGTTTTTTTTAGCACAGCGCACCTGTTACGTTGTTACCGCGGTTCACCGGTCGTTTGTATGGACGCGTGGCTCTCGCGGGGGCCGTCTGTGGACTGCCCGCAATTGTTTACGAAGCGGTCGGCCCGTGTCGCCTCTGCATAGAACCTTCCACGGCAGACAGATTAGCGGATCGTGTCCTCTGAGAGACAAATGAGTCTTCGTTGTATCGGTAAACATTCGAAATTTAAATGTCTGAAATACATGTGGACGGGTGAAAAAGGCTATTGTTTGGCTTAAGAGATATTTTTGCAACTTTACAAGAGAGATCCATTTAATAAAAATTTGGAAAAAATACTTTTTCAGCTATTTGAATGTGGTAAACATAATGGATGGTATGCGAAAGGCAAGAGACCGAAAAGAATGTGGCGCATTCGAAGAGACCTACACTCAGCATTGGACACGAGTTGAAGAAGAAAAACATAATTGAAGTTCAATTAAAACATACTGATACCAAAAAAAAAATTTCTTTCTTTATTAGAGCCTAACCTATTAGGTTAAGTCGGTTTATGTCGCCTATTAATGGAAATTTTGTTTAAATCAAATAGCCTTTTGCCTTTCGATGTCATCAAAATGAAACGAATGGAATAATTAGTTTAAAATTAGATTAATTAGATTAAGATTAGCACTTCGTATAAATCTGTCACACAATAACCATCACAGCCAGTTCCCGTATTCCAAGTGGCAGATATGGCGAATGACAGCAACCGGTCTACTTGAGAAAAATGCAGAATACACTTTGTATTAAAAAAACTGGAAATAAAATGGTTACTCTTCAAGAGTAGGTACATATTTATGTGTGAAGGGTCATGCTCCACCGAGAACTTTAAAATGAAAAAAAGGGGAAAAAAATGCGTGATGTCGTGGGACACCGGATAGGAACGAAGTTCCTTATCATAAAAATATTAATTTTTTAGTTCTGTTTGAGGTATAAAGAAAATAATTATTCGGGTATACGTTTTTGTTATGATTTTTTTATTGATAAAAAAAAAACTACAAAGTTATCAACTTAATTATATTCACAATGATTTATAAAAAATATGTAATAAAAAATGTTATTTTTTGTACGTTATTACAAAGTTAAGTCGTACACCGTGTGCATTACTAATAAAAATCATACGTTACGGACTTTTTTTCCCGGTTAGGGTACCCCTCCGCATCGTCCCATAAGGAACTACGTTCCAAAAATGTAATTAATTTGAGATTCTACATTCATAATCTTTGGTTAATAGGAGAGCGACGCGGCCAGTCGGCACATCGGAGCATTCCGAACGAACAGTCCACTGGGGAAAGTAAACATTAACCACTATAACATGACCTCCTCTATCACTTACCTGTTCTAACTCGAGAACCATACTGCTGTATTCATAGAGTTCATTTTTAAAACACCTTAGCTTCGTTGCCGTGCCTAATGTACCATTACAAAATGATCTCTGGTTTTATACTCAAGAAAAATAAATATACCTTATTCCTGGGCAGCAAAGTTCAGTTTGGACAGTCACATAACGGAGAGAAGTTTCAGAATGCCGGTTGTTTAATGGAAGCAAATTATGGAATGCTTCGTGCGAAGCTGACACTACATGAATTTTGTAGCTTTTTTAATTTTGCTTATTTATTTATGTGTCATTAGTTTGATGTGTTAATAAATATTGTGGAAAACATATTGAAATATTGACTCTGTCTACTTACTCAATGTATGTACGTATAAAATATAGAAATAATAATAATAATAATTTGCAGAATTATAATTTGTGTGATGACTGGTGGTAGGAACTCTTGTGAGTCCGCGCGGGTAAGTACCACCTCCCTGCCTATTTCTGCCGTGAAGTAGTAATGTGTTTCGGTTTGAAGGGCGGGGCAGCCGTTGTAACTATACTTGAGACCTTAGAACTTGTATCTCAAGGTGGGTGGCGCATTTACGTCCACACATCTAAGCAATAAAAAAATAAAAAATAAAAAAAAAAGATGTCTATTCTCAAGGCTATCAGCATAGGTAGGAGAAAAAAAAAGCCAAACAATTGTGTATTTTTAAGATTATGATAGATGGAATTCTAACAATTAANCGGGGCAGCCGTTGTAACTATACTTGAGACCTTAGAACTTGTATCTCAAGGTGGGTGGCGCATTTACGTCCACACATCTAAGCAATAAAAAAATAAAAAATAAAAAAAAAAGATGTCTATTCTCAAGGCTATCAGCATAGGTAGGAGAAAAAAAAAGCCAAACAATTGTGTATTTTTAAGATTATGATAGATGGAATTCTAACAATTAAATTCATATTTTATTAAAATAGAATTGACTATTATAACCTGAGCTCCCGTTTCGTATATTTTTTAATTAATTCAAACATCCAAAATTAGTCATAAATAATATAGTAAAATATTATATGATTTATGACAATAAATATGAAAATACAATAATAATGTAATATCTACTACATAATGATTGTTGGTAGAGAAAATTGTGAGGGTATCTGAATTATGAATACAATATAAAAAAATCTTTCCCGGGCGCAAAAGACATCAACGCGCTAGAAAATAGAGCTAGATGGGATTTCAAGATTTCTGCATTTAATTTTACAAATTGAAACAAAATTCTTTTATTAATTATAGAGATTTAACTGCTTATATTATTTAGTCATTTAGTGATTTAAAAAGTTCGTGATTGTGCATTTAAGCAGTAATGCGTTTCGGTTTGAAGGGTGGGGCAGCCGTTGTAACTATACCGAGACCTTAGAACTTATAGCTCAAGGTGGGTGGCGCATTTACGTCATAGATGTCTATGGGCTTCAGTAACCACTTAACACCAGGTGAGCTGTGAGCTCGTCCACCAGCCCAGTTGAGCCGAGTGGTAGTTTGGTCATCAACTGTAATTTAACACGTCGGGACAGCTGTTACAGTACCCAACGACAAATATTTCACATCGATATTTAGAAAGAGACGAACGGCTATCTGTTTTTGTCGCACACTATTCATGTGACGTTTCCGACAGAAATAAGGTACGATAGACGACATTTGCCGATCTTTCAAAGGCCGCTGCGCAATATTTATCGCTAGATACTGTACACAATTGAGACTTCGACCTGTTTGCTTAAGGCGAATTTTTTAACGTTCTCGATAGCGTAAAAGTTAACTCAGATTTGTATGCAGTTGGAACAGCGCCTCTAGCGGCAAACATAGACAAACGTTCCAACTCCATACAAATTTGAGTTAACTTTTACGCTATCGAGAACATTTAAAACCTCGCTCTGGGCACACTGAAGTCTCAAAGTAGGTGACGACGTCCACGACATTAATAACCGATGATCTGAGAGCTCGTTCGTACATCTGGAGAAAGAAAAAATCAAAATAATTTAGATTCACTCTGTACTTGTTCTTTAATTATTAAATACAAGCTGACCCGGCAATCTTCGTAGCGCCTCAACCGATAAGTAAAAGAACCATCAAAGGAAAAACAAAATTGTTTGTTTTTATATAATTCCTAGCTTTTTTATATTTTTCACCTTTTAAACATTCCCTAGACTTCCATGATAATTCAAGACCAAAATTAGCCAAATCGGTCCAGCCGTTCTCGAGTTTTAGCGAGACTAACGAATTCATTTTTATTTATAGAGATAAATATTGTTACGCGCTGGGGTTCGGGATATAAAAAAATTTATACCGAATTACTAGTTAACACTGTATTAGCACTTAGAACACTTAAAACACTCAACAAACACTTTAAAACTCTCAATTCGCTTCTTCCGCTTCGCTTGAGGTTCGCCGTTCGCTGTTTCGCTTCGAGTAGTTCCGATTACTAACTGACTGCATGCCATCTATGCAACGCTTTTATAGTCGAGACGAAATCCCTAGAATCGTCGAGGACACCCCACAAAATTCTAGTATTGTGTGTTTCCGCTATCCGACAATAGATGGCGCTGTACTCCTCGAGCGTTCTAGATGCTACAAGATCCTTCGATATTCGTTCGACTATTCGGCGATAGATGGCGCTACTCTTACCAGCGTAACACTATTAATCGACTATTTTAAATAGAATTAAAGAAGCAAAAATATCTGCAATACAATGTTACTTGTTACGAATATTGTAAATGTGAAAGTTTGTTCCTGCGTATTTTCGTGATTCGATCACGCAAAATTGAGATTTTGCAGAGATCGGTTACAGCTTAAATTATTTTTGTACCATGACTTGACGACTCGCGAACGCTGCGTGTAATAAGCATGTCAATGTCTTCCATGGTTTTTGATTTTACGTATCGACGGATCCACATATTAATTTATAGTTTATGGACCGGATTGATACAGGCCACTGTTTTACTGGTGGTCTTATGAGGTCCTTATGAGGTCTATTACGGGTAGGCTCCACCACCCCGCCTATTTCTGCTGTGAAGCAGTTATGCGTTTCGGCTTGAAGGGCGGATAACTTGTTGAACTTCAAACTGAGACTTAGAACTAATGTCTCAAGGTAGTTGGCGGGATGTATGCTGTTGATATCTGGTCCAGTGACCTCTTTATAACAGGTGGGCCGTGAGCCAGTCCAGCTATTTGAGCAACAAACAAAGAACTTTTTGTTTCGGAAAAATGTATGCTCCTTTCTTTTTTACCAAGCTGCATGCTTGGCTTTAATAAGTTCTTCCATTTTGGTATTCATCTCCGGATTTTTTATTTTATTTTATTGCCCTTGTAGGCAGATGAGCATACGGCCCACCTTATGGTGAGTGGTTACCGTCGCCCATAGACTTCGGCAATGCCAGGGGCAGAGTCAAGCCGCTGCCTACCGTTTAATACTCTCCACAAGCCTTGTTTGAAGAAGGAAAGGAAGGAGGATCTTTTCAGGGTTCCGTGTTTGAAACCAAAGTTCAGGTGGAGGTCTCATAACCAGTCCTGTCGAGCTTGTGCGGGCCTAAATCTTTCGTCGGCATTCGACTGATGATGATGTTTTTGTTCAACTTTGTTTCCTTATTTCGTTAATCATGTAATGGCTATACGTATTGGATCAGGCGTTCCGTTTATCGGCGTATTTCTTCCTCTACCTATTCGGTGGTAGCTTAAGAGGCTATTTCAGCCGGGTAGGCGAGCTCAAGGGCTCAACTTGAGAGAATTTGCTAACACTAGCCCTAGCAAAAGCAGTGTTGCGCAGAATCTACCACCATGCTGGAATCGCGAACCACTGAGGAGATTGGGCGAGAAACTCGAGTGAGTTTAAGCATTTTTTGTCTTTTCAGAGTTTAATTCTGATTAGAAATACTTGGTGGAATAATGTTGGGTGTTTTCTGAATCGACACATTTATACATCCAAATATATCTCGAGAGCTGTTTTTATTGCTTAGATAGGTGAATTTTCAAGCCCTATCTGAAGTCAGTGGTTACCGGAGTCAGTGATATGAGACATGAAGTCACAGTCTCATGTCCCATGCTATTGGTAAGTCGCTGCACAAGCTCACGGCCTAACTTGTGTCAAGTGGTTTTGAGGCTCGAGACGAGCATATGGCCCACCTGATGGTGAGTGGTTACCGTCGCCTATGGATTTCAGCAATCCAAGGGGCAGAGCCAAGCTGCTGCCTACCGTGACAGTAGACTTACATGACAATAAACGCCGCCATTCACGTGAATGAGGCTGCTCACTCTCTGGTAAATCCCTTAGTTGTCTTTAGATAGAACTAGCGACCCGCCCTCGCTTCGCTTCGGAAACATTAAAACACACATGAAACAAAAAAAAAAAAAAAAAGTAGCCTATGTTCATCAGGGACAATGTCGGCTTCTAATGGAAAAATAATTTTTCAAATCGGTCCAGTAGTTTCGGAGCCTATTCGAAACAAACAAACAAACAAATCTTTCCTCTTTATAATATTAGTATAGATAAAGGGACCTACCCGTGCGGGCTCACAAATAAATACTACCAATGTATCTGCATATTTATGTAATTTGCGGATTTCATTAACACAAGGTTATTGTTCCTTTATCGTTTATAGTCGCACGTGAAAACGTGCCAAGTTCGTATTTCCATGCAAAATTGTATTGAAATATACAAAGGTTGATAATATTTTGGATGTGCTGTGTGCAATAATACATGTTTTTTTGCAGAATACTCGATTTTTAATATAACATTTCACAATTTTAAAACATAATAAATTTTTCGTATTCTAAAAACTCTTATTGGCTAAATTAACTCTTAAAACTTAATGAATATAATAATATTATTGTTAACTTCTTAATCTATGTAACAAGTCGATATGAAGACTTTATTTTCTGAGATATTTACATTAAATTTACATACAGCAAGTAAATAAATAGCAGATAAGTAAACAAACGTATCCGGTACTTACTCAGAGCTAAAAAGTAATAAGTCTGAAATGCGATAAGAGAAAGGTAACTGTGGGAATTTGTTTTGTTAACTATGAATCGCCTGAATGATGAATTCCAAACATTACAGAGAGAAAGAAGCATTAAATCTAAAATACATTTTTTGGTAACTTTAAATCATTTTTAGTACATTGTAACTAGTTTAATTGTCACTTAATAACTAAGATGATTTTTATTTTATTGTCATTAAAAAAAACAAGTGAAATTTATCTAATGCTTTGTATAATTTACTATATACTTTTATTTTTTGTATTTCACCCTGTAACATGTTTATTGAATAGATTACCATTTTAAATTAAACAATTAACTATTTATATTAGTTTTATTGTACTAGTAAGAGAACAAGCCGACATCCCATCTGGTGTCAGGCGCTTCCCGCAGTGCATAAATAACACAATGCTATTTCCGCCTCCATTCAAATGTAATTAGTACTATGAAATCGAAATCTCAATTGTGTAATGGCTGTCCCATCGCTTACCTCTCAAATCCGCAGGTACTTCATCATCATCAGCTTACAGGCGTCCACTGCTGGACATAAGCCTCCCTCAAGGTTCCCCACAAAGACCTCTCCTAGGTAACCCGCATCCAGTGTAATCCTGCGACCTTTAGCTGGTCGTCCTACTACCTAGTGGGATGCCTACATCTCACTACGTGGCAGATAGTACTTTTTTTATTACTTAGTTGGGTGGACGAGCTCACAGCCTTCCTGGTGTTAAGTGGTTACTGGAGCCCATAGACATGTACAACGTAAATGCGCCCACCTTGAGATATAATTTCTGAGATCTCAGTATAGTTACAACGGCTGCCCCACCTTTCAAATCGAAAAGCTTCTGGTTCACGGCAGAAATACGCGGTGGTGGTACCTACCCGTGCGGACTCACAAGAGGTCCTACCACCAGTAAAGTACGTTATGAGTATATTTGGTTATAGTAAAACATTAAATTAATTAACTATTAATGGATACTATTAAAATAACAATAATTCCCGTTACGCACTAATAGGCAGTTCTTGATGATTAAGGTTAACTTCGTGTGCTGGTGATGAATTGTTTTTCTTCGCCTCAATGAGCTCAGTTCCTCTTACAGCCTGCAAGAAAAGCAATCATGCTCTTTATTAACGTAACAACTATAACACTAAAACATTTAAAACGTGTTGTTTTTGTAGTGATCCTAATTACAGTACTAGGGGGACCAGACTCGGTTCCCAATCGGACATTTAACGGACTTAATTTATGGCGGTCATCATCATTATCATCCTCATCAGCTCACAGTCGTCCAGTGCTGCACAAAGGTCTCTCCCAATTACCACCAGGGAGCCCGGCTTTCAGTCTTCTAGTTCATTTCTTGGCGGCCCCCCTTCGAAGGTCATTGACCCACCTAGTCGGGGGGTGCGTCCCACGTAAGGTATTTTTATTATTTTTTTATTCCTTATATGGGTGGACGAGCTCACAGCCCACCTGGTGTTAAGTAGTAACTGGAGCCCATAGATATTTACAATGTAAATGCGCCACCCACCTTGAGATATAAGTTCTAAGATCTCAGTATAGTTACAATGGCTGTCCTACCCTTCAAAACGAAACGCATTACTACTTCACGGCAGAAATGGGCAGGGCGGTGGTACCTACCCACGCGGACTCACAAGAAGTCCTACCACCAGTAAAAGGTTGCCAGTAAAAGAATATTAAAAATGTTTGGCATTAGAGGTCTGAGTCTGTTTGTTAGTATCTCACATGTGTTTTGGGTACCTGTAACACAGGGGAATCTAAGCTTGGGTTTGTTGAATGTGGAACAATTTTTTTTTAAATTTCTAATACAAGATAAACTTTTGCAATAAAAATGGTTTCGGATTTTCTCAAAAATGTTCGGCCAGTGACCGAATTTGTACCATAGATACAAATAGGCATCTTAAGATTCGAGATATATTTTATGTCGTATTTTCGCGTGTCATTTAAATAATTAAAATAATAAGTTTAATGTGGACGAATAACGATTTAATAACTTCGAAATCTCATCAATCATCAGCAAAAATTAAACATTAGAGTATTGTGGTTACTACCGTCAATTTTTTGTAAAAAATTTTGAGTGAATAAAGTTCGATTGATATCTCTCTACAGAGAAATTCGTTCGCCGGCTATACGAGCGTGTCTTTTAATCTTAAGTCATCATCACAAAGTTCAAAATAACTAAAAATAATAACTGCTTACACTGGCTTAGAATATAAACCTCAATAATAATTCACAGCACAGTATTATTTCTGTTTCAGATTCACAAGCGAACCTCTTCAGGTCTGATATTAAAAATATTGTTATCAATTTTCAATTTAGTTTACTTCTGTATATTTTATGGATCTTTAATAAAGATACCTCACAAAAAAAAATACGTTTAAAACATTACAAGTAGAAATATCAAATCGCCAATTATAAATGGTGACATCAAAATCATTTAGCGATTTTAAAATAGTACTACTTACTATCTAAGCAGATAAATTGATCGCATGATTTACACGCACACAAATGATAAGCAACAGAAACATTTACACGCTTCAGTTTGTAATTAATGATGAGATGAACGAAGCGTGCCGAGAATGTGATAATATGATTATATATATACATATTTGCTTCGCGGGTCGAACATACATATAATTAAAAGTGCTTTTACGGGTTTTTATTTACATTATATGTATTATCGACCACGACGAAAGTGTTAAAAACGTCGTAAATAATATAATAATGATAACAAAAAACACGAGATTAAGCCTTAAAAGTAGTTTTAATTAAAATCTATATATTATTATATATATAAATGAATTGCTGTTCGTTAGTCTCGCTAAAACTCGAGAACGGCTGGACCGATTTGGCTAATTTTGGTCTTGAATTATTTGCGGAGGTCCAGAGAAGGTTTAAAAGGTAGATAAATATGAAAATGCTCGGAATTAAATAAAAACAGTAATTTTGGTTTTTCCTTTGATGTGTGTTGTTTTAAGTTTATTTTATACATTTTATTTATCGATTGAGGCACTACGAAGTCTGCCGGGTCAGCTAGTTATTAATTAATACATATCCGTTTATGATATTTTTTGTGCCAATAACAAAATTTCAAGGTAAATCTTTAGGAGGTCTCCGTGTATTGTGTCGAAGTTGTGGATTATCGAGTTTAATTGATTAATTTTATATTTATGGACAACCTCTTTGACTATGATCACCATTGAAATAAATTGAAAACGTATTTAATTGTAAATTTCATCTAACACTCATGTAATCTAAATAAATTATAATTTTGTGGAATATGCAAAAAAATATAATTTGCGTAATTAGGGTGGTAGGACCTCGCACAGGTAGGTACCACCATCCCGCCTATTTCTGCCGTGAAGCAGTAATACGTTTCGGTTTAATGGGTGGGGCAACCGTTGAACCAATACTGAGACCTTAGAACTCAAATCTCAAGGTGAGTGGTGGCATTTACGTCGTAGATGTCTATGGGCTCCAGTAATCACTTAACACTAAGTGGGCGGTGAGCTCGTCCACCCATCTAAGCTATAAAAAAATACAGACGTTGTTTTATATGTCCAAATACACTAACCAAACGGAGACAAGGAAACCACACCGTCGGTCACGTTACCACCCGTCACCTCGATGGAAATTAAAGATCTGATCTCTCAGCGGGCTGATCATTAACATCAGCCCGCTGAGTTTCTCGCCGGATCTTTTTTTTATTGCTTACATGGGTGGACGACCTCGCAGCCCACCTGCTGTTAAGTGGTTACTGGTGCCCTAAAACATTTACAACGTAAATGCGCCACCCACCTTGAGATATAAGTTCTAAGGTCTCAAATATAGTTACAACGGCTGCCCCGCCTTTCAAACAGAAACGCATTACTGCTTCACGGCAGAAATAGGCAGTATGGTGGTTGAGCTCACCTACCCGTCCGGGCGTAGCTGGAATAGCCCCTTAGACTAACAGTGAATAGGTAGGGGGAAAAAAGCAGGGTGGTGGTACCTACCTGCGCAGACTCACAAGAGGTCCTACCGAGAGGAAAGGCCTCCGGGTCACCAGTAATCCCTCAGTCATAAAACCAAGGAAACCAGTTACATTGACGCGGTGAAATCGACTCAGTTCAATTTGTGGTGTACATAAAACAATTTTGTTCGGAGTGTTATCCGTACGATAACGATCCCACAGAGACAAAGTATGTGGTAATCACGGAAACAACGACTAAGTGTCGCAGATAACACGACGCGACTACTCTGAAGTATTTTTTTTCTAATTAACATAAATAGCTGTACAGATTTAAGTGAAGAGCTTGGACCTAACGCTTTGCTGTCATGATGTCATTGGTCGAAGCGAGAATAATTGATAACGTCACGTAATAATTTTTAATCTAATTGGTCAATTGGGAGCGTTAATTTTTAAATTTTACGGAGTACATGAAAACGAGGCTTACATAAAAAAATATTTAAATGAAGAGAAAGAAGAAAGCTCATGAGGGACCTTTGCAGAATGTAATAAGAAGACTACGTGTGTTCGGTTTTATTTTTATACAAAAACATGTAAATTTAGCTTAAAAACAATCTAGCGGCACTTTAAATTTTATTTACCTTTTTTAAATATAGTAAAGGTGATATTAAACCAAAACAAAAATATTAATAGTGTACTGCAATGGATCATTAATACGTACAATTTATTTAAAGTTTATACGTCGTTTATAAGTTGGTAAAAATAAAGAAAGGTATACTGAATAAATAAAAAAATTACAATATTTTCCCATATTACTAAGCTTTGTTCGACAATCGGGGTTGATAATAAATCAAAAGGTCAACAACATGAATGATAATGGAGAGAAGATACAGGTTTAGCTTACCATAAATAGAGCGATGAACATTCCCAGAGCATATCCGCAGAGAACATCGCTCCAGTGATGCTTGAAGTCTGTTATTCTTGATAAGGCGACGTACCAACTCATCAGTAAAAATGCCAACTGAATAGTGTGGCGGAAGATCCTGTGGTTCTTCCACACTGAGCGCCTTTCTAAGTATATCTGGAATTTAAAGGTTTTTCATTAAGTTTATGCGGACGTCCAAGGTCTCTTCACTGGTTAGTCTGTCGTCGGAGATACGGGTATGACTCTAGTTATTGGTCACATATCCGTTACACTAGTATTCTATCCTGCATTACTTTTTCCTTCTTAACCTAAATGTAAATTGATTATTTCTATTTATGTGTAAAAAAACAAAATTATTATTATAAATTACATTCTGTATTTGTATGTACCTATATGTTTTTTTTTAGCCTAAGCTTTTGGTCTAGAGATACCATATCAGCGTAACCTTAACTAGTACGTGAGCTCACGGAGCCCAAACCTGACGATGTTGCTAACACAAACCCTAACAAGAACCGTGCTTCGTAGAAACTACCACCGGATCGGAAACACGACCCACTGAGAAGATACGCCGAGAAACTCAGCGGGTTGATGCTTAGGTTAGGTTGCACGTCGAACTATTTGCCGAGTTCGACGAGTAAGGTTACCGGGGTCCCTACTCCTAGTGTTAGAGCTAAAGGTGTCTAATGCAAGGATTATTGGATTTGATGGATCCGTAAGGACGTAAACTCACAGCTATAAAAATCGCAGTGTAGGCGATACTCGAAGAATGTCCGCTGGGGAATGATTTTCTTAAATTATCAGTTAAGAGTGGAGTTTCTGCTGTGCATGTGTATTCATTCGGAGCAATGTACCGTCCGAAGTCAGTTGGCAAACTGCAGTCCACTGAAGGCTTGCATAGCTGGAATCAAGTTATCAGGTTAGTATTTCTAATTTTTTATTTTCGAAGGCAATCTGAGCGATTAGTATCGATTAAAAGTATTTAGTCTTTAAATGATACTTATGTTTCTTTCATCGGATCACATAACATTGACCCACTGCGTGAACTTTTTTTTATTATTTTTTTATTGCTTAGATGGGTGGACGAGTCAGAGCCTACCATTTGTTAAGTGGTTACTGGAGCCCATAGACATCCACAACGTAAATGCGCCACCCACCTTGAGATATAAGTTCTAAGGTCTCAAGTATAGTTACTTTCGAACTACAGTCAAACCTGGGTAAGTGAGAACTGGATAAGTAAGAAAACTCTATAACTGAGAGTAATAGCCAGGACCCGTAATTTTAAGCTCCCAAAACCTCTATTAGCGAGAAACAGAAACCTCTGTAAGAGAGTCGTTTTTCCCTCATGGACCTCCGTAAGTGAGACTGCTACCTATCTATACCTCTATAAGCGACAGCCGAGCTTTATTTATTTATTTATATTATTTAGGAGGAACAAATGACAAATTTAACATCTGCTATTTTATGACTCATTCTTAACTTTCGTGGAACTTCCTATCATTATTTTTGTTATGTTTTCTCGTCAATATTGAACCTATTCTATTTCGTGGAACTAAATAACGTTGTTATTTTATCGCATTTTTTTCGAATGGACACGTGTGCCTGTGTACTGCCCTGTTTGTCGGACTTACTCAATTTATCGTTAATCAATTGCGAAGGAAAGTTCTGTGCTGCATCATGTAAAAACGGAAAATTAAAGTACTGTCATTAAAGTCACAAACTTAAAATAGTGAATGCATTTGATTCCGGAAAATCGCGAAACGAAATTCAGAGGGAGCATTAGCGAGAAACTCGGGTTAGTGAGAAACCTCTATAAGCGAGAATGAGATTGTGCTCCCTTGAACTCTCGCTTATCCAGGTTTGACTGTATATGTTTATATTATTGCATAGGCGGGTGGTTGAGTTTTTTTTTTGCCCTTTGAGGCAGACAAGCATACGGCCTACTTGATGGTGAGTGGTTACCGTCACCCATGGACGTCATCAATGCCAGGGACAGAGCCAAGCTGCTGCCTATCGTAAAAGATTGAAGAGATGAAAGAGCTGGAGATTGAGCATAACTGGTTTGCGGGCGGTCGAAATAAATTTGGCCGTTGTTATCTTCCCATGTAGACTCTCAAGACGCTGTACCGCCAGTATCAGGGTATAAAGACTACAGATTCAACACAGTTTCAGATATTTTGATTTTTAGAATGAATTCTTTAACTTAATTAACATGACATTTAATAACAGGTCGTACGTCCCTATCAGTTTTACGGTAAGCACATTTATTTCCAACGATAGTCAAACTTTATTTTGCAGGAAAAATATATTTGTTATTCTGTTAAAATAAGTGTATCTTAAAACATAAATATGTTATCTATACATTAATTCTGTAAGCAAAAACTTTGTACCCCTTTTTAGAAAAATTGCGCGGACGGAGGAGTATGAAATTTCCCACCCTCATAGAGAATATAGAGAAAGAGTGCAGAATGTTAATATTTTCTTAAGTTATGCATAAAAATACATTAAATCAATAAATAAAAAAAACATTACACATACTACCATGTATTTGTCACACACCCGGATGCATACTATTTGCTTATTGTCAAACTTTTTTTATTGTTTAAAGTCTGTGGTCAAATTGAGAATAGATTGAATACTGTTTGTCTTTATTAATATTTGTCTAAACTTTAGTCTTAGCGAAATCTGTGATAACAGAAGTATAATAGTCTTTGACGATAGAATCATAATAGTGTACAAACTTATAATTATTTCAATTAATTATAGTCGAATTTCGACTACCGGGGTACCATTAGTAGTACTTTAACAAGTGACAGAATTACAATTGGAAATTTCTGAGCGACTAGAAACAAATGATTGCTCTGTTTACTTACATCAAAGAAATGTGGTCTAAGTCTTCCAATGACTTTCTTTCCCATGTTCGTAAATATTTCATTGAAGCAAAACCCGACCGAGAATGACATAAGAATGCCAAACGAACTTCTCACCCACCACGGGACGGGTATGGAAAAACATCTTGCGCTGCGTTCCTTGCGCAGAAGAGTCCACTCGAAGATTAAAATCTGGTGGAATAATTAATTAATTTCTGTGAAAAAAATCTAACTAGCGCTGGACCGGATATATCTGGTTAAGTGATCACAAGTCGCAATAATGACTACTATCCGGTATGAGGTGTGTTTGAAGTCACGATCGTTTCGCTTCACAGCCGATGCCAGTTCGGTCGTACCAAATCTGGTTCCACGGGCATTTGACATATCGTCGCTGTCAAACCAAAATCTGCTACGTGCAAAAACTCTATTTTGAATTAACGAGTAATAACATTGTCGTATAAAATTTTATATGAAGGTGAATTTTTAAGAACTATATCAAATGAAAGCTATATAGATAAATATTAAAGCTATAGAGACATACAATTTTTTTTTAAACGGTAGATAGGCCTGTGATCTATACGAAAAGGTCAAAAAGTAAAAATCCCCCAAAAGTGCACATAGCAGATTTTGGTTTGACAACGACGATATGTCTTACTGGTACTATGTTCTTACTGGTGGTAGGACCTCTTGTGAGTCCGCACGGGTAGGTACCACCACCCCGCCGATTTCTGCCGTGAAGCAGTAATGCGTTTCGGTTTGAAGGGTGGGGCAGCCGTTGTAACTATACTGAGACCTTAGAGCTTATATCTCAAGGTGGGTGGTGCATTTGCGTTGTAAATGTCTATGGGTTCCAGTAAGCACTTAGCACCAGGTGAGCTGTGAGCTCGTCCACCCATCTAAGCAATAAAAAAATGTCTCTCAGTAAATTTTTACAGGCAGGAGCAAATCGACGCGCGAGTGCTCCCAATGATACTACCATGCCATGTCCGAGGGTTATAGATTTCAAGGTAAAGCAGAATCAACGCCGCTTTCAAATCCTGAGCCTTATATCAGAAAATATTTTTTTTTCATTTTACACTTATCTTTTCTTTTATAAGGTTTTATTTGTATTTATAAGGTTAAGCAGAATATAGCATCGTTTGATCAGTTAAAGCGAATAAGCTGGTTGTTTTGACGTAGAGTTCAACTAATTACGCGCCATGTTGTAACGCGTTGATGCCACACCGGTCGTTATTTCGAGGGGAATATGAGTTAAAAAAAATGCTAAGCGATTACAATTGCGACGCTAACTATTGTGATTTCGATCTCATGTCTACAAGGTGACCGGTGGGATTCGCGTGTTCTCATGAGGTACGCCATTACTTAGTTTTATAGACTAACTAGCTGACCCGGCAGACTTCGTTGTGCCTCAATCGACAAATAAAAGACCTAAACTTTTATATAAAATAAACTTAAAAATAAACAAAAAGAATAAATCCGACGGGGGTGACATCAAAGGACAAACAAAATTGTTTGTTTTTGTATAATTCGAAATCATTTTCATATTTTTTCACCTTTTAAACCTTCTCTGGACTTCCACGAATAATTCAAGACTAAAATTTGCCAAATCGGTCCAGTCGTTCTTGATTTTTAGCGAGACTAAGGAACTAAGGAAGCAATTCATTTTTATATATATAGGTTGTAAGAAAAAATAACTTCTAAAACACTTACTAATATACTAGGCGGGATTATTCCAATTATTCTCAGCACTAATTCCGTTACTGTGTCGTCTCTGTATGGGAGCATTAAGCTCTCGTCGCCACAGAAGAAACCCCGATGCGTTTGAACCCATAGCTTCTCTAATGAGAGATTACACACCAATACTGAAAATTCAAAACGATTTCAAAATCGGAGTTCTCGAAAATCCTGTCCAATTTTTGAGGAGAACGAATTTTGTTCACGAGAGCTAATTGCTAAATTTTAGCGATCGACAATTTTGATTTTGTCTCGAAAAATATATATATCAGTTAATCAATCCAAAAACGTCTTAGTTACGCGTCTTGTGAATACGCAATGTTAAAAATCGACGAGCTTATAGCCCACCTGGTGTTAAGTGGTTACTGGAGCCCATAGACAACTACAACGTAAATGCGCCATCCACTCACAAGAGATCCTACCACCAGTAACTACGCTAATTATAATTTTGCGGTTATGATTTTTACTCCACGATATTATTCCGTCACCGTGGAAGTCAATCGTGTACATTTGTTAAGTACGTATTTCATTAGAAAAAGGTTAGTTTAGTTATTTGTTTTTACATGACGTTTAGCGATCAATGTTTACATTAGTTGATTAGTCTACTCTATCGGCAAAACAAGTTGTGTTTTACGCCAAAGGTGCGTCCTAAGTTAATGTACACATAATTTTTTTCCACGCGATTATTTGCGAACTTTATTATTATACATTTATACTATACTAGCGACCCGCCCTCGCTTCGCTTCGGAAACTGTAATTTATTATTAATTTCTCCATTATTTAATGGATTTTATTTACATATAAACCTTCCTCTTTAATCACTTTATCTATTAAAAAAAAAACCGCGTCAAAATCCGTTGCGTAGTTTTAAAGATTTAAGCATACATAGGGACAGAGAAAGCGACTTTGTTTTATACTATGTAGTGATTTTTTCATTGAATCATTTAATTTCAGTATAATTTAAACTTCATTAAATAACAGCACAAAACAGTACCAATAAATAAAAACAAGGATATTTATGCCCTAAAACAAAAGGCCTGCCAAAAACATTACGAATCCTTACTATTTGATTCATTCTTTAAATTATTCACATTGTATTGTCTAACGAGTTTCGGGAGTGTAAATAAAAAAAAAAAAACTGGAACTATTTAACTGAAGTCAATGTTTACGATTAAAACATTGTAAGTAATATTAAGAATATTGTTGTTCGAAATTTAATAAAATCAATTCAATTTAGAAATGAAAAACATTCGAATAAATTGAGACAAAAATACAAAAGGAACTCATAAAAATTAATGACGTCACAGTTTATGTAACATTCAAAAATGCTTTTAAAAAAAACCTTAAAACAAAACTCACGTCCGACCAATAGGAATATGTCGCCAACGAAACTCCTTAGCATGTGAACTGACGTATCGTCTCTAGACATGTTCGCGCGGCAAGAAAACTTCGCAGACTAGTGGGCGTGACATCTTCCAACCACTTAAGTACCTCTTTATCACGTACCTAGCGTTGATAACTACTCGAGGAGATCGCTTCAATTAAGATCTTATTTAATTTGCCCGACTGCCGGACAAGGAGGTAATTTTTGTTGAGTGTATGTTTCGTTAACATGTTCCCCTCAATGCTATGTTATCTAATTTAAGCCTGAATGCATTACAGCGAAAGGTCATCGGTACATATAATATATATGATATATTTTAGTGTAATTTTATCTGTTTCTGTCACACGCTGAATGTATGATACGACGGAAATATAAAAAAAATCGAAAAATGAATTGCTGGTCGTTAGTCTCGCTAAAACTCGAGAGCGGCTGGACCGATTTGGCTAATTTTGTTCTTGAATGATTTGTGGAAGTCCAGAGAAGGTTTGAAAGGTAGATAAAAATGAAAATGCTCTGAATTTTAACTCGTCGTGGCCTAAGGGATAAGACGTCCGGTGCATTCGTGTTGAGCGATGCACCTGTGGTCGAATCCCGGGCGGGGTACCAATATTTTTTCTAATGAATTACGTACTCAACAAATGTTTACGATTGACTTCCACGGTGAAGGAATAACATCGTGTAATAAAAGTGAAACCCGCAAAATTATAATTTGCGTAATTACTGGTGGTAGGACCTCTTGTGAGTCCGCGCCGGTAGGTACCACCGCCCTGCCTATTTCTGCCGNGCACCTGTGTTCGAATCCCGGGCGGGGTACCAATATTTTTTCTAATGAATTACGTACTCAACAAATGTTTACGATTGACTTCCACGGTGAAGGAATAACATCGTGTAATAAAAGTGAAACCCGCAAAATTATAATTTGCGTAATTACTGGTGGTAGGACCTCTTGTGAGTCCGCGCCGGTAGGTACCACCGCCCTGCCTATTTCTGCCGTGAAGCAGTAATGCGTTTCGGTTTGAAGGGTGGGGCAGCCGTTGTAACTATACTGGAGACCTTAGAACTTATATCTCAAGATGGGTGGCGCATTTACGTTGTAGATGTCTATGGGCTCTAGTAACCACTTAACACCAGGTGGGCTGTGAGCTCGTCCACCCATCTAAGCAATAAAAAAAAGTAGTTTTAGTTGTATAAATAAAAAATAAAAAAGTAGGTAGGACAACAGTCGGCGCCAGGGAGCTTCGTCCTCGGACGTCAAGCCATCGTATTCTTCTTCTTCTTCCAGTGCCTCTTCAGTCCTGAAGGTTGGCCGTTAGCTTCTTATATTCATTTTTATCAGATGTTCGACGGAGGCAATACCGGTCCACTCCCGGATATTCCAGAGCCATGACTTCTTACTTGCCCAGCACGTCTCTTTCGTATCGTATTAAATATAAGTATATATAGATCTACAATGCGGCCGAACATGCTACGAACAGCCCCCTCTCAATTCCTCCCAGCATCAGCCTTACCCCCGCTTTTCTTGGGCAGTGGGGCTTGTCCCGAGGCCCATTAAGCCTCCACCGAGCGGGTGATATTGCTCGGCAGACGCTCCATGTGTTATCGCTCGGAACTTGTATCATTGTCGAGAAATATGTCGTTCGCGTGTTTCAGACGTCGGTCACGTCCCCACTAATGATCACTGTACTATTGTTTATCAGGTCAATTGTCTGATCGAGAAAATAGGTAATAAAGAATCTATAAATAAACATGTAAAGAAAAAATAGTTAATTACCGTTTTCGTCTCTGTTTTTCACATTTAATAGGTTCATTTAATTTTTTATTGCCCTTGTAGGCAGACGAGCACACGGCCCACCTGATGGTAACTGGTTACCGTCACCCATGGACTTCAGCAATGCCAGGGGCAGAGCCAAGCCGCTACAAGCCTCGTTTGAAGAAGCACATGTCATAGCGCTCGAGAAACACCGTGGAGGGGAGCTCATTTCATAGCCGGATGGTATGTGGCGAAAAAGACCTCTGGAAATGCACTGTCGATGAACGCAGCGGTTCCAGATAATATGGATGAACTCTGCTCCGGTGGCGGGAGGTGGGATGATAAAAAGGAGATGATAATTGCTGTTATCAGTCAAAATATTTAAGAAGCACTGAGGTTTTTTTTTATTAGTTATGTCAATGACAAAATAGAAGAAAAAAATATCATCTAAACCGTTAAAATTTCGATATTCGAATTTTATTCCTACTATTATTATTCAAACCCTGCTCTTTTTCTGCCGTGAAGCAGTAGCAGTTCTAGTTTGAAGAGTGGGACAATCGTTGTATTATAGAACAGAGACTTACAACTCATGTCCACAGGTGGGATGCGGCATTTTAGTTATTGAAAATGGGCCAAGAGCTGGTTCATTCATTGAACCAATTAAAAAAATGCGCGAACACTGGTAGTAATTATAATCGCACACGCTAAAATGAGACACATCGTCGATCCTGAAAGACAAATATCTTGTCCTCTTATTACATAGCATCGTCCACGAATTTTCTAATGTTAAATTGTTATCGGAGCCCATAGACGTCACAACATGAGCTGCCACTCACCTTGAGATATAAGGTCTAAGTCTCAATTGCTTATGGGCTGTTTCACTCTTCAGACTGCATTATTGCCACAAAGCCAAAACAGTAGGTGATAACGTCTAACCACGCAAATTCAAGGACGCCCTATCACCACCCAAGTTTTCGGCCATAGAAGACTCCGATTCGTGTGCTTAGTGCCAGTTTTTTAACGTTCTCGATAGTGTGAAAGTTAACTCAAATTTGTATGAAGTTGGAGCGTTTGCCCACATTTGCCGCTAGGGGCGCTGTTCCAACTCCATACAAATTTGAGTTGTTATTTACGTTATCGAAGACGTTAAAAAACTCGCACAACTACATAGGATACGGGTTGCGAGACTCGCGGTTCAACATCAAATCAGATTACAAAAAGATTAACGAATATATTTAAAAAAATATTAAATGGCTATAATATTATTATTAATTATTAAACAATTAATTAAGGTAAATTAAAAAAAAAATACTTGTTTGTTTATCTGTTTTCGCGCATCTTTCTATGAGATTGGATTTAAGCTTTCTATTACGATGTGAGATAGGGTTGACACGCGAGTAATTTTGACAAATCTGTGTACCCTAAATTCTAAGCGATCATCACAGTGAATCGTGGCTGAGATTAGTTATAGTAATATTAACTACACAAAACGTCAGCATCAGAAAAAAAAAAATCGTTCTTTTAAACATTTTCTCATATCTCCAGAGGTTACTAAGCTATCGAATAATTTTATAAACTAATTAGGTTTAGTGATATTTGCGTCTACTTATTAGTTAATGCTATCGGGAACTGTCGCTATTATATCCATTGTTCGTGAACTGCGAATGGAAATCTTGCACCGGCTTTGACCACGCTAATACCTCGTGACCTCGTTCATAATGCCATTGACACATCAACAAAACATTTTAATTGTATGCCGTCATTGCATTTTAAAAAGTATTGATTACGAGAGTCAATTAAGTTCGCGTGGACTCTGATCTCGTCTATCCATTATAAGAAATAAGGGTAGAGGTATCTTATAAGAGGAGTTCTTAGGAAAAAAGTTAAAATAATGATTACTACAAAAATATAAAATGGTAAAACGAATCATGAAACGTGAATGAATGCGAATAGAGTTGGTATTGCTGATAAATTTCTGGAATATTAGTAATAATATAACATATCAAAATTTTATTATTTGCTATAAATATATTTAATAAACAAAATTACATAATACATACTCTCAATATTGATGGNAGTTCTTAGGAAAAAAGTTAAAATAATGATTACTACAAAAATATAAAATGGTAAAACGAATCATGAAACGTGAATGAATGCGAATAGAGTTGGTATTGCTGATAAATTTCTGGAATATTAGTAATAATATAACATATCAAAATTTTATTATTTGCTATAAATATATTTAATAAACAAAATTACATAATACATACTCTCAATATTGATGGCAAGTTGAATTAATATAAAAACATTTCAGTTTCTTAGCTGATCGGGAAATGTCCCAACAATCGCTGCGAAAATGTGTCGGTTTTCAGTGTCGTTTTTCTTTGTTACACTTTTTCTTTGCAGCTCTTAAGCTCACAAATAAAACCTGCGGTAAGGAACACCGCTCCAAAAACCCTGACAAACTAATCTTAACGGGTGACAGTGAACAAATAGGTAAGAATACGGGCACTCAAAAATTATGCTTAATGCATATATTTTTTATTGCTTAGACAGGTGGACGATCTCACAGCCCACCTGGTGTTAAATGGTTACTGGAGCCCATAGACATCTACAACGTCAATGCGCCACCCATCTGGAGATATAAGTTCTAAGGTCTCAGTATAGTTACAACGTCTACCCCACCCTTCAAACCGAAACGCATTGCTGATTCACGGCGGAAATAGGCAGGGTGGTGGTACCTACCCATGCAGACTCACAACAGGTCCTACCGCCAGTAATTACGCAAATTATAATTTTGCGAGTTTGATTTTTGTTATACGATGTTATTCCTTCACCGTGGAAGTCAATCGTGAATATTTGTTAAGCATGTATTTCATTAGAAAAATGGTACACGCCTGCGGGATTCGATCACCGTTGCATCGCAACATATGAACGCACCAGACGTCTTATATTTTAGGCCACGATGACATTAATTTATTCACGAACTGAACGCTATATAAAGTGATGAAGTATTTGTTATTAACTATTTAGTAATCGTACTGGTAATCAGTGCACATGCAGGTCAAATAACAAAAAGTTATTTACTTCAAGTATGCCTTCACTGTTGTTTTTCAATAATCATGACTTTTCATGAATTAATTTTGAAAGTATTGAAAGGAATGTAGGGTAAAATACCCAGTAGATGACACCTTAAGCAATTATTAGTATGTTTATTGACATAGTTTGGTGTGGAACAATATTAGAGGGAACTTCTGGTTAGTAGTATTTGCGCAAGTTATTCCCCTTCCAGATT